TTTATCTATATATCTATCTATCTATCTATCTACATATATATATATATATATATATATATATATATATATATATATATATATATATATATATATATATATATATATATTATATATATATATATATATATATATATATATATAAAAATATTGATTATCTATATATATATATGAATCCATATTTACTATCATAGATTTATATTCTATCTATTATATTATCTATATATATATATATATATAATATCATATAGTATATATGTCATATATAATATATTTATTATATATATATAAATGAATATATATATATAATCAGGTTATTATTATTTATATCCATTCAATATTTCAAATTCTGTTCAATATATTATTCATTTTATCTATATATCTAAATTACATTTATTTATATATATATATATATAAAAATGTTTCATTAAAATGACAGACAATATTTAAATTTTTATATTTAATTTTCTTTGTTCTGATATTTTTCTTTAATATGGACAAAAAGTAAGAACTGTTACTAGTTTTATATATTCCGAGCGCTTTATATTTATAGCCATTATATATATATATTTTTATATTTAAGATATATATTTTTTTTGTTTTTGTTAAATTTTTAAACAATATTTAGGCACATTAATGCCTTGTTCGTAAAGGAATTTAAAGTTGGATTTTAATTTTTTAACGAAAAAAAAAATAATTTTTTGAAAATCTTTTGAAGTTATTATATTTCTTCTTTCTCTAATCACCATCTTGTTCCAGAAAAGAAATCTTGTTCAATTACAAAGAAAAAATTAAATAAAAATTAAAAATTAATTGTCTATGAATTTTTAATGTCATATAAACAAAATATTGTATTATATATATATATATATATAAGTATATATATATATATATATATATATTGTGAAAATTTTTAAGAAATTATTTAATTAAGAACATGAATGCTTGAAATTCATAACTTTTCATTGGCGTATGAAATTAAAGAATGACATTCATAACTGCCATGAACAGTTATGAATGTAACGAGATTAAAATCGAAGATTGAAGTTTATTTTTTTTCAACCTTGCCAACCGAACGATCCTTTGTAAATTATCAAGGCACGTCATTTAAATGATTTCCGTATATATATATATATATATATATATATATATATATATATATATATATATGAAGAAATGTAGTTTTAAGGTGTGCTATATTTATGGAATAAAGTACTCAATATCAGAGATCGAACGTATATAAATAGAAAAAATTGATATATATTTTAAAAAAAAAAGCGCGACGCCCGCCCATGATTGTTTCCACCGATTTAATGGTTGACCCAACGTTGCATTTATTTGTCGATATGCAAGATTACCGAAACTGGAACGACCGTGATGCGGGCCCAAGGAAACACGATGGAAAATTTTTTTTCGAGAAACAAGAACGCAAATCCTCTTCCATATTACATTTAGATGTTTCATTTCTGGGCTTAGCCTGCTCGTTCGCGTGGGTAGGTAGGTAACATTTTGGACAAATTCTGCTAATTCACATTAATCACCCCCCACTTTGTTTTTCAACCTGTCGCCCATTTACTTATCCCGATGTGGTGCCTGGAATATGTGAAATGGAGGTTTCGGAACAGCGACATAGATACAAACACGGACAAGAGCGGGCCAGATCTCGCCAATCCCAAGTATCAGTGTTAATATAGACCTACACCCGCTTATTAGGTATTTCTGGTTTTGTTGCCACTCAATCTTAAAAAGAAACCTGCGGACATCCATTTACTTCCGCAATAACCTTCATTTAAAGTGGACGCCATTTGCAAGACCTGACTTCAAATGGAACTATCTACCGACACATCAAACGAAAAGTACTTGAGATCGTGATAAAATCACCGACTCCCCTTTATAGTGATTTACCAAGCATAGGTTAGATGTAGCACAAGGCCGAAAGTAGGGGGCACCCAGTGAGGATCGAACTCACTACTCAGTCGTAATAGTTCTAGCGAGACAAGCTTGCTAACCATTACACCACCTCGAGGTGCCCTAAATGATTTTCTAAGCATAGCTTAGATGTGGCACAGGGCCGAAAGTGTGGAGTACCCAGTGAGGATCGAACTCACCTCCCCTTTATATGTGGGTGTCCATAGAATCGCACTAGCATGCGCTTGACAGTTTTTAATCAGTTCCGTCTACACACTTTCATTGAAAATGTTTGGGTCAATCTGTGGTATAGATTTCAGGAATTTTTCGACATTGCCTCACGCTGGGATAAGTCTTATCAAGCCGTTGTTCCCTGTCAGATCGGCTATGGTGGGATTTGAACTCGGGTCTCATCGTAAAAAAACAAACTTAATAACAAAAAGGAGATGAACGACAGCTTTCTGGCAGGAATCAAGAATATGAAAAAGAAAAAAAAAAAACATTGTAAAGGAAAATTCAGTTAAAAGAATTTATTGATGACGAAATTGATAAATTGCTACAGATATTTGTCGGCCTGAAATCAAATATGGTAGAAAGCGACATTTTGGCTTTAGCAGCTAATTAGAAATATTCTTGCAATTTCAAGTTTTAATCGCACTAAGAATATGGACAATTTTTATTCTTATTTTTTTTAAATTTTTTTTAACAAAGTTGGTTTGCGCTCGTTGGTTTTAAATAAATAGCGTGAGAAGCAAAGGTTGCTGGGAGGAAAAGAAATGCAAAGATTAAAGACAAATGAAAGAGAGAAACAAAGAATCAAAGGAAGAGTATTAAAAGAACCAACGTCTGGAAACAAAGACTATATTCCTGGAGCCGTTAAAAATAGGGAGAAAGAAGATGACCAAAAAACGAAAACCACTAAAAACAAAGAAACAAACAAAAAAAAAGCCCAAAAAACAACAAAAATCACAAAAACGAAGGACTGAAGCAGACGACAATGAAAGCAAGCAGAAATATCAAAAAAGGATTTGAATAATAAACAGGATGTTCCAGTGAGCTAAAACCGTTGACAAAAATTATGGGTTTATGACACTAATAGCTTTTTTTATTCAGCAGTAAATAATCTAATTACAGATCGATTGATTTCTACTTTTTTTACGGCTTATCAACCCTTTGCATATTATTTATAGAATGTTTTTGAGATTATAAGATTTTTTTCAGATAATAAGGTCTTTTTATACAAGTCATACTCTTTATCCCATAGCTAGGGGGATGAAGTCAATGCATAACTTTCCCAAATGTATTTGCGTGTAAGCGAATATAACGAACCCGACTGGAATTGGAACTCAGCTTTCCGGTTTCTCTTTCCGAGCCGTTATCCATTGCGCCACCCGCACATCTAGGCTTACATCGATCACCCATCTAGGTACTCACCTAGGTTGACGTTGCTTAACTTCAGTGATCGTACGGGAATCGGTGTTTCAGATAAGATTCAAAATACATTTATTACATAGCTGAGCATTCTGGCGTC